CCACTTGTTACTACCAACCCCCTTTTTAGGAAACTTGGAAAAAGGAGATTTGTTCAAGGTCAAGATCTTTGACATGGCCTGTCTCTTTGGGTGCCTGCCACAATTGTTATGAACCCGAAGAGTGACAATAATAGCAGCTAATTATAGCAGTTCATTTTACATTAAGGACAATAAAAGATAAAATCCCTATATTATTGATTGCAAGATAATGTAAAAGTATAGAACAATTTAAGTCATAAAGACTTTAGAATATTTTGCCCTTCTATTCTCTTTGGGCCATCATTTTTGACATTTATGTAATCCTTGCTTTTTTTTAAAAAAGGTAGTTTTGTATATTATTGTTTATAAATGTTGGAAACCATGAAAATAATATAATGAAAAATTGAAAAATTTCCCATATTATTGTGCCTCAAAACAACTGCATATTACCAACAGAGATGTATTTTTTTAAGATGCCTAGTACCCATTTCAGTAATAATAGCTGGTATTTCCCAGTGCTGATGATGCATATCTCACATAGTCTCTCAGTAACTCTCTAAGTGAAGTAATAATCCCTCCTGCTTAAAAAGATATGGAAACTGAGGCACATAATCCTTAATGGGTCACTTTCCAAAGGTAAGCTAGCCAGTGGGTAAAGACCTGGGAGAAAAATCCAGGCTGGTCTACTGTACAAAACACATTCTTTTAAAAAAACCGTTGCAAAATACGCGTAACATAAAACTTACCATTTTTAAACCTTTAAAAATGTGTAATTCAGTGTCTTTAATACATTCACAAGTTGTGCAACCATCAATACCATCTAGTTATAGCACATTTTATCACCCTTGTATCCGTTTCTAGTCATTCCCATTTTAGCAATCATAATATCCCTTCTGTCTCTATGAATTTATCCATTCTAGATATTTCATAGAAATTGAATTAAATACTAGACGGTCTTTGTATCTGACTTTTTTCACTTAACCCAATATTTCAAGGTTCATCAATGTTGCAGCATATATCAGTTTTTCATTCCTTTTAATGGATGAGTAATATTCCATTGTTATTTATCTATACTACAGTCATATACCACATATTACACCGCATTTATTCACTTACAGACATTTGGTTATTTTCACCTTTTGTCTATTCTGAGGAGGAATGCTAGGAATTTGAACATTTAATTCATTTGGGACTATTCTTATGCGTGGAATTTCTGGGGCATATGTGTAATTTTATGTTTTAATCACCAACTATTTCTCACAGTGACTAAATCATCTCACATTCCCATGGGCAATATTCAAATGTTTCAGTTTCTCTACATGTTTGCCAACACTTATTTTTCATTTTTAAAAGTTATAGCCATCTTAGTGAGTGTGAAGTGGTATGTGGTTATATTCTTTGAATTTGCATTTCCCTAATGATAAAATAATGTTCAGCATCTTTTAATGTTTGTCGGCAATTTGTGTACCTCCTTTAGATTAATATCTACTCAAATCCATTGCTTAGTTTTTGCTTTTTGAAATCTTTTAATGTTTATTTCTAAGAGTTTTTTTGAAAGTGTATTCTGTATACAAGACAGGTCAGATATGTGATTTGTCTATGTTTTCTGTCATTATGTGGGATGTCTTTTTACTTTCCCAATAGTATCTTTAAAAAAAATCTTTATTTTTATGTGGTGCTGAGGATCGAAAACAGTGCCTCACACATGTGAGGTGGGCGCTCGACCACTAAGCTACAGCCTCAGCACCCAATAGTATCCTTTGATGCACAAAAAATTCAAATTTGGCAATTCCTATTCATCTAATTTTTTTTTTTGGTTACTCATGTTTTTGGTGTCATTTCTGAGAATCAGTTGCTAAAACTAAGGTCATGAATATTTACCTCTTTATTTTCTCCTCTGAGTTTTAGCTCCTAAATTTAGGTCTTTGATCCATTTTAAAATTAATTTTGCATATAGTATGAGGTAGGTGTTCAACTTCATTTTTTTTCTCATTTTGATATCTCATTTTCCAGACCATTTGTCAAAAAGACTATTCTTTCCTCCACTGAGTGGTCTTGGCACCCCTGTGCCTAATCATAGATATATAGGTTTATTCCTGGATTCTCAATTGCATTACACTTAATTGTGTGTTTTTCCTTATGCTAGTATGACCCTATTTTGATTGCCATAACTTTTCTGTAAGTTTTGGAATTGTAAAATGGGAGACTTCCAGATTTTATTTTTTCAAGATTATTTTGGCTATTTGGAGCCATTTTTGTTTCCATATGAATTTTAGAATCAAGTTTTTCATTGTTAAATAAAAGACCATTGGATTTTGATAGAAATTTCATTGAATTTTTAGATAGCTTTGCCTCCGTAACACTATTAAGCTTTCTACCTAATGCTATGGGATGTCTTTTTTTTTGGTTGTTTATTGTTTGTATGTGCCAGGGATTGAACCTAATAGTGCTTAATCACTGAGCCACATCCCCAGTTGACATTTTTTTTTTTTTAATTTCCATACAGGGTATTTCTAAGTTGCTTAGGACTTGGCTAAGTTGCCCACGTTGACTTTGAATTCACAATGCTCTTGCCTCAGCCTCCCAAGTTGCTGGGATTATAGGCATGTACCACCGCGCACAGTTTGGGATGTCTTTCCATTTTAGGTATTTAATTTCTTTCAGCAATATTGTAGTTTTTCACATACAAATCTACAAGTATTTTATTCTTTTTTGCTGCTATTAAGTATGGAACTGTTTCATTAATTGCCTCTTAGGAAATTGCTAATATATAGAAAAATCACTGACTTTTTTGTTGCTGATTTTGTATCCTACAATGCTGTTGGATTCCTTTAGTAGTTCTAATAGTTTTTTTTTTTTTGTGTGTGTGTGTGTGTGTACTCTTTGTACTCTTTAAGACATTCTCTACATAACACCCTGTCATCTACAAATAGAGATTATTTTGTTTCTTCTTTCCAACTTAGATACCTTTTTTCTTGCCCAATTTCCCTGGTTACTATGTTGAAGAGAAGGAGTAAAAATGGGTACCCTTCTTTTGTTCCTGATCTTAGTGGGAAAGCTTAAGTTTTTCGAAGAGTATGAAATTCATTTTTTTAAACTCCCTTTATTATGTTTAAGAAGTTTCCTTACATTTCTACTTTTCTGTGTGTTTTTATTATGATAGCATGCTGAATATTGACAAAGATTTTTCTCCATAAACTGAGATGATTGTATGCTCTTCCCCTCTCCTACAATCTGCATTCTTAGCCAATAGGCCCAATTGCCTCCTTCTTTATGAATTATTTAATTTTATATCCTACATTTAGCACATAAACACAAAATTATTTTAATCGAGAACATGATTTCAAGTGCCTATGTTATTTTCCCATAATAATTTATTGAAAAACATTGTTGGTTCAATAACTTCAGTATTTTTTCTGTTAATTACATTTCTTTTTTTAACTTTCCTGTTATTTTTTAAATTGATTTTTAAAAAAATAAATGACAGCAGAATGCATTACAATTCTTTTTTAAAATTTGTTTTCATTAGTTACACATGACAGTACAATGATCTTGACATATATACATTTGAATCAGATGGGATATAATTTTTCATTTTTCTGAGTGTACAGGTTGCAGAATTACATCATGCAGTCACGTATATACATACAGCAATAATAATGTCTATTTTATTCTGCTGTCCTTCCATTCCCCACTTCCCCTCCCCTCCCCTCCCATCACTTCTCTCTACCCAATCTAATGTGACACACTTCTTCTTCTTTTTTTTTCCCCTCACATCGTCATACCTGAATTCTGTATAACAAAGGGGGTCTCCTTCCCTCTTCCATGCAATTCCCCTTCTCCCTCCCTTTCCCTTCCACCTCTCTTCCCTATCTACAGGTAATTTTCTTCTCATGCTCTTCTTCCCTACCCTATTTTGAATCACCTCCCTTATATCAGAGAAGCCATTCAGCATTTGTTTTTTTGGGATTGGCTAACTTCACTTGGCATAATCTGCTCTAATGCCATCCATTTCCCTGCAAATGCCATGATCTTTTTATTTTTTAGTGCTGAGTAATATTCCATTGTGGCATTACAATTCTTATTACCCATATACAGCACAATTGGAATCAAGTGCTCTACAACCCAAGGAGGTAAGTAAGTTATCTTTCTGTTCATCTCTGAAGCTCTTCCATCTTCTGCTAGTAGCAACTTATCTCCTTATTCCCTCTCAACATTTATTCTTGTTCCTCACTCTACTCACTTTCCAGAAACATTCTAATTCTCGCTCTGTTTTCATTTAGAGTTCTGAATGAATAACTAGGCCAGTAGAGTTAATGTAGAAAACATAATAAACTTAGTGGTAAAACAACTAAAAACCCACAAACTTGTTCTATTACTACCTGTATTTATTTAGCTTGGAAAGAAAAGGAATCTGCAATTTGGTCATTTTTTTTTTTTTCAGTTTTCCTCTTTTCTTTATCAATATTTATTTGCACGTTCCTGCATGAATTTTCAGATAATCTGGAAATATAGGAACACTGTAAAGAATTGGACTTATACATAAAACGAATGTAGTAACATTTAGTTTTAGAAAACACCAAGGAAAACATTTCTATTAATTCTCACATTGATTGAATTTTTTAAAAAAATCAGTTTATGCTTGAAGTAAAAACTTTGCTCATAGACATCATGGAATGAATCCCTTTCATTTAAACACATATGTTTACATATTTTGATGCCATCAGATATATTTGATTCAAAGACTATTAAAATTCTGAAAGCAAGAATACTGAAAAAAGCCAAAGGCCTGAATAGATATAAAAGAAGCTGCTCCTTGCAAGACTCAAAGTTGCCCTGGTTAAGTTTTCCTGAGCCGCAGAACGAGAACTACAATTCCCACAATGCTAAGCGCGAAAACGCAAGCCTCGGCTTCATGGCTTGCCGCCTGAGTCCCGCCTCCTCGCCCCATTGATTGGACTTCCCACTTCCGCGCCTCTGGACTTCCCTTCTCCCATTGGTGGAGGCTTCAGCGGGGTTAACAACGGAGTTCACGCTCGGCCGGCTTGGTTCTGTCAAGCCCACCGGCCTTCCCCTCCGTGCCAAGATGGCGGCAGAAGCAGCTGGTGGCAAGTACAGAAGCACAGTCAGCAAAAGCAAAGACCCTTCGGGGCTGCTCATCTCTGTGATCAGGTGAGGGAGGCAGGAGGCAGCGTCAGGGGACGGGGGCAGAGGCTCGATCTCCGCTGTGGAAGGGAGAAGGGTTCGCCGGGTTCCACCCTGCAGACCTTTTCCTTTCCTCCCTGCCTCCCCAGCCCCTCCCAGGGCCCCAGCAGCTCCACGCTTTTCAGCATCAGCAGTACCCCACTTTTCTCCCGGGCTGGGCCTAGAGGGAGGAGCCCCGCTTCACAGTCAGTAGGAGCTGAGCCCTCTAGGTTCCCTGGGCCCTAAGAGCACGCAGTTTGGGTTGGTGGAGAGAGAGCCAGGTGAAGGTGTGTTCATCCATTGATCAAACCTTGATTTAGCAGAGCTCTCAGAGGAAGACGACTTGTTCCCTGTACTCTGGGTGCAAGGCCGGAGACTACTGTCACGAGTTGCAGATTGTCCAACTCTGGTCACTTTCCACCACTTGTGAACGGCCGCAGCCCCACGTACAAGGGCCGGCAGTGGGCTGGTAGAAGGGCTGGGGTTTGAAGGCACACATCTGTTTTCCATTTATGTTGTGCCCTTTTCTGCCTTTCTATCCGTCTATTCCTTAACAACAAAACGAAGCAAGTTTCAAATTCTCCTTCACGCATCCTCTTCCCTGCCACGTTAGGATGAGAGTGGGAAAGGGAATCTTTTAGGAACCTGTGTTTTTAAAAAAGTGAAATAAATTGAGTACCGTTAAGGATGATACAGGCAGTAACTATAAACAACCCAAATTAGAAGTAACGAGACGTGTTTTTACATTGTTGGCACTCGAATGTCAAGTCAGTCATTTTCTATGAAACAAACACCGCTTTCTGCTCCTTTCCCCGACCTATGCTAAACTTTTGTTTGAGTTCTTGGAGGGCTCCTGGAATGTCCTGATCATCTTTTTATTTAAAAAACATTTCATCAGTGCACTATAATTATACATATTAGTGAGATTTGTTGTTACATATTCTTATATGCACACCGCATAATTTGGTCTGATCATCTTTTTAAAACTCAGGACTCATGAGTATCTGATAAGTACTAAGCAATTTGAATGAATATATCAAACTTTAATTATTTTATTTTTTGCAATATGGCGTATTGAACCCAGGGATGCTTTACCACTAAACTATATCTCTGCTTCCCCCAACCTAACTTTAAAAATATTTTGTTTTGAGACAGTCTAAGTTCCCCAGACCTGTGATCCACCTGCCTCATCCTCCACAGTTGCTGGGATTACAGGCATGTGCCACCATGCCTGGCATTTATTAAAGGACAGTTTACCACTCAAGGACTAATAAAGATCCATTCTCTGGATCTTACTTAGGAGACTCAAGTTTAAGATTATGTCTTGTTAAATCATTATCAATTTCTTTTACAATTAGGAGAATAATTATGTATGGAAATACTTAATATACTTGGTAGGCCTAACAGGAAATGCTTTTTTAAAAAAGTTTTTTAACATTTTTATCTTATTTATTTATTGTTTACTTTGTCGTATGTAAAGCATTATTTGTTAAATGTTTAATGCTTCACATTAAACCTATATTCACAATATATTTACATAATCATGATTCTATAAACATTGCTTCCTACTTGTGCATGATTGGAATATCATACTATAATATCAGACTGATACAATTACTATCTTAAATTATCTTTAACTTGATATAATTATTATAAATAGTTGTAAAGTGCTTATCAGAGTCAATAAATTCACATTTGCATTTGGAAATGCTATTTTGGATTCTAAAGACCCACATTCTTGCTTTAGCTATACATGTGGTGTATGGATATGTCTCATACTAAAATTCCAACTGGAATCTTCATAATTCTCTCTGAAATTACAATAAATGAATTTGGATTTTTAAAAAATTTGTTCATTTTTTCTGCTTTACAGTCAACATTCACTTATAAGTAGTTAATGCTAGTTTTCAATATGCTGCCTGCCATTTATTATATACTTAGTCAAATTTTGTTGAGCAGATCCCCTGAGTTTTACAAAGACAAATCAGCTTTATTACCTTTGAGGGTCTATCTGGGGGATAAATGTATAAATGTTTGTAAGAACTATGACATAAGACAGAAGAGAGAGGTGAAGTAATTTGGACATGCAGGAATGTTATAGAAGGAGTAGTTACTTCCAAAGAAAGTGGAGTAGGGCCCAGGGAAGGTAGCAGCTATATACAAAGGTACTATTCTCATTTATATATTTTTGATCCTGGAGATTGTTCCTTTTTTTAATGCTTTATGTTGGTTTTCTTCAGTGCCAGTTAAATATACCCTCCATGTCTGATATTTGAAAACTGCATGGAAATCAAAAGCTTTTTTTTTTTTTTACTGATACTGACTCAGAAATATACATTGCCTTTGGTGGACTCAATGTGGACTCTATGCCAGATGGGTTGCAATATGATTTTGTGATTATTCATCCATCTCTTATCTATTGGACTTGTTACCTTTATTATTGTGATTTGGGCCTGGGCATTTTTTGCTTTTAAGTCTGTTGTGTATTAACTGCTTTTCATTTTTCTTCTTTACTCTTGACCACTTCAAAGCTCCTGAATAACACTATTATCATGTCCATTGCAAGTATGGTTGGTTGGTGCCTGATCTAGCATTCTGGGCAAGTTTAGTAAAGATTGGGGTTCAGAGTTACATGTGAACGGATGCCTGGATGTTGTTAGTGCTGAAGTGTTTGTGTTTGTGTTTCAACATTTCTTTGAGTCACAGGAAACTTCAGGATTGAAGAAAGGATATTGCTCTACTTGTTGTTTCCTTTCTGATGTATTTTTGAAATTGGTTAAATTCCATTAATAGTGGCAGTGAATGAGAGGAGGATGACAGGATTCCTTCAGTGTTAAGGATTTGGGGTAGGGGAAAGGTCACATAGGGAAGAATGGAAGGGGGAATATAATTTTTGTTAGTAAATTGTGTTGTAGCTCTAAAGTAGCTACTTTGTATTTTTGTTCATTTTGTATCCTATTTGTTATCCTTCTTGCAACATTGTATTCATGATTCTTAATTTCTCAAACAAAAACTCCTCCTATCTAACTTTTTTCAAATTCTTCTCAAAGACTGTAGCTGTAGTGGTTGCTTTGGCAACAAACCTCCAAAGAAAAACCCATTTTAGGCTTGTGTTTATGAAGAGGAACCTAGTACATGCTAGTTCTCTTTCATGTTTCCCTGATCATTTTTTCATGAAATAAATTACTTGTTAATGATATAGTCCACTCATTTTTAAAAAATTTGATCAGATTAGCTTTATCTTTTTATGTCACCGAGCAGTTATTTTTATTTTTTAAATGTTCATAATTCTTCTTTAGTCCTTTTGCTCAGGTAGGTAAAAAATGTAATTTCCTTGCAATACTTTATATTGTTTTTAAAATGCTATCCCTAACAGTTGGAATAGCATTTATTATTGCAGTCATTTTTTAATATTGGATTTTTTAAAAAAATAGATAAGGTTTATGTAAGGACAGAGTAGGTGTAGATAAGGGGAATATCTAAGTCTCTATTTTAATTATTTAGTACCACATCACTATTTCCTGATGTGGTACTAAATAATTAAATGATGACTCTATTTTGCTAGTATGACAGTCTACCACTTTAAAGCATTTAAAGGACAAAATAATTTAAAATGTAGTATAATTATAACAGAAGTATTATATTTGATAGATGTATGTATTTTTAAGTGCCCAAGACTGATAAATAAACATTTCTGATCATTCAAAAAATATTGGATACAAATATTTCAGGACAGTCAGATGTCTCAAACAGTAGACTTCCAGGGCTTTACAAAAGAGGTTCTCAGACTATGGAGTGAGGGGATGGGGGGTTTGGTGAGGAGAAAGATGGTGCTTGAGATTTATTCCATTGGAGGCTGCTGCTAACTGTGTACATTTGGGGTTTAAGTCTTGCTACTGGCTCTTTAAAATGGAACTAATTGGGTGGGCAGAGTCCTGATTACCTGCTGATGTAGAGTTTGGACAGTTTGCATGTGTGTGTGCAGGCACACAAACAAACCTTTTTGTTTGGTGTGGAGTTGGAAGAGGCAGCCTTTCTACTTCGGGAAGAAAGCAAGATGACATTTTGAAGACGTTGTCTTATTTTTGTGAGTTCCTGTCAGATTTTTAATTGGGAAATGTGTCTACCACTTACTGTTAGGTGATTTGCTTTCCAATTAAATGTTGCCTCTCTTTTCTTTGTAAGTTGGCCTGTAATAGCCAGTTTAATTGGGGAAACAAAATTTAGTTGTGACTTAAGGAGACCTTATGGAAACCTCTGGGCAGAGCTTTTGTAGACAGACTCTGTAGATGTCAAGGAGAATTGAACGCAGCTAAAGGCTCACATTTCCATCAACTTTTATGCCTTCACAGATGTTGAAATTTCAAAAACTTTCAATATCCTTTATTGTAGACACCAGTTAAATTTGCTTCCTCCTCAGAGTGTATTTTGGTCAGCCCACAGTTAATTCAAAGTCATCTTTGTTGAAGGGGCCCAGGCTTTGATCAGGGCTTTGAACAAATAGCTTTGAGGTTCACAACAGAGTTTGTGGTGGGAAAGGAATGTGGTCCCTGATCCCAACTGAGTCCTGGAAGTTGTGGTAGGTGTTGTCTCCAGCACCATCTCTTCATTTGAGCCCATCTCATCATGACCTCTAGGCTTCTGCTTCTTTTTGTATCCTTGCAGATTCTTGGCACTAGTGATGCAGTGTTGCTTGCAATTTATTGTTAGAATTCATGGAGACCAAACACTTCACAAACTTTCAGGAAGTTCTGGGACACTTAACAACAGATGTGGAAGTAAAACCCTTCTCTGGTTGAACATGCAGATCTTGGGGATCCATGTCTTACTTTCTAACCCCACATGTGATTGTTAACACTGGAATTTCTTAAAGTCTTTGAGTTATTTTAGTTTTAATATTTGGTGATATGGTCAAGTTTTTTTTCAAGCTATTCTAGTTAGTTGAAGACATACGTAAGTGGTTTTGTTTGGTTAGGTAGATATTTACT